GAATGTTATTTTTATTTTAGACAGTACCAGTTCTGACATCTGATGTACCATTCAAACAGTGGCAGAGGGATATATCAAGATTTGTGTGGCAAGGGGAAAATCTTAAATATAAAATATTAGAAGATGTAAAAGAAAGAGGTGTATTGGGTTTACGTAATTTGAAAGTATATTTCTCAGCTTGTTGTCTGATATGGTTAAAGAATGGGTACTTTTGAGAAACGTTACTGGAGTTAGAAGGTCATGACTTAAGATATGGGTGGCATGCTTATTTATGGTATAAAGTGAAAGTCTGTGTTGAGTTTAAAAATCATTATATTAGACATGTTGTTCTAACAATCTGGAACAAATACAAAGCCAGAATGTGCCTGAAAACTCCTTTGTGGATTTCAACCCAAGAAGCTCTTTTAAGAAGGGAAATGGTTACTAAATAAATGTATTTAACATATCAGGACACTTAAGACTTTTCACAAGATGACTGCAAAATGAAAACAAGAGAGTGTTTGTTAGCACAAGGATACAGTTGTCAATTGTTGTTTTTATGCACAATTATTAGGAAGATTTAAAATGGATAATGGGTTGTATAGTTTGACCGATCTATGTCTGGGGGGTTTCCCCGCCCCCCAGGGGGACTTGGCAAGCCTACCAACATATTATTGCGAAAATGTATAAACTTATGTTGAAATTTAAAACAGAGGAGGAACAGGTAAAAGTGGTCGAAAAAGTTTGGTTATACTATTCAAATGGAACGATGGGAAAATCTTTGGTTGAAAGGGCTAAAATTTATCTTATGTTCTAATTTAAAAGAGAATTTATATAAAATGATATACTGGTGGTATATGACTCCAGATTAATTAGCTAAAATGTATTAAAATGTTGGGAATAAAGGCTGGAAATGTGAACAACATGCAGTAACATTTTATCAGATGTGGTGGACTTCTAATAAAACCAAAAAGTATTGGATACAAATACATTCAATCATGCAGAAGATTTTAAAGACAATTGAAACCAGAGTCTTTTTTGCTGTGACTAATGGATAAACAGCTTGAAAATACAAATGGAACTTTGTTTCTCTACATGACAATGGCAGCACGACTGTTATATACTCAAAACTGGAAAACGGCTTCATTACCTACAATAGAGGAATGACTAGAAAAGATGATGGAGCTTGCAGAAATGGCCAGACTTACATCTTTGGTAAAAGAGAAAACTTTCCTTAAATGCAGGGCTTTTTTCCTGGAAAAAGAGGTGCCAGAAATCTCAAGAGGGAAATTAAGTTTTCAGTCTGTCTACTGAAAACTCATAAACTTTTAAACATTTTTAAAAGAATTTTGTCAAAGAGGTTTCGAAACCCTAACCCAGAAAAAAGCCCTCCTTAAATTTATACCTACATGGAGACCCTTCATTTATTTATGAATGCATAAAAAGGGGGGGAATGAACTGAGGACTTATGGCTTTGAAGATAATAAGATTATACATAAAGGTGATGTATTTCCCTTGGTCTGACTATGGGCTAAGGTGATAATGAGTAAATGATGAGCACCTGTAGCAGAGAAAATCAGATATTTTTCCTTTTCCCCCTGTTCTTGTTTTAGTTGATCTGTTGTTTAGTTTCTCTTTTCTTGTGTTACTATGTAAATAATAAATAAATAAATAATAATAAAGCAGCAACTGAAGCCAAAGCCAGCCCATGCTTTCCAAACCTGTCTCAGCAATGGAGTCTAGCCCAGTCAGGCCCTTGTTTTAATGCTCTTTGCCCATGCACAGAAGAATTTTTTAAAAGAACAAATTTCTGTGATTGGCTAAAAAGCAGTATTCCCCCTAACCTGAAGTTCTATTTGCCAAATTGCCAGTGCTCCTTCCCCCCTCCCCTGGAATGGGTGGGGAAAGCAAGGTAGCTTGGACTTCACATTTAAAGCCAACAACCTTGCAGATTGCAAACCTGCAGTGCAATGCCATTTGCAACAGCATTGCAGTGATTGGCTCTAAGGCACTACGGCTCCCCCTAAGGTGCTTTTGCCACTGGGCTGCAGAGACCAGAAAAATACTGGTAAGGTATTTTTCCCCTAGAGGAAAACTGAAAGTCTCTCTGCAGCCCTTTAAACCTCCCCACCACCAGCTATTCAGTACAGCTGAATATACCTGAAAAAAAGCTGGGGGGAAATTAGCTTTATTCGGGATCAGCTATACTGGTAGCCAGTCAGCTTCTCTGATCTGTATTCAGCTAAAAAAAATGCCAGAAAAATACTGGTAAGGTATTTTTCTGGTATTTTTTCAGCTTGGATACAGCCAAATGCACACCCCTAGTTGTGCTTTCTGCTTAAATCTCTGTGTGTGCCTTTCATGTCTGCCAGTGAACCCAGCTAATCTTGCAATCAGTTCTTGCAGTCCTTTTTTGAATAGATACCACTGATTGTGCAGGTACAAATAGGACATTAAAAAGCAGGCAATGCATTCTCTCCGATATCAGTCATTTAAAGGACGTATGGAACAATGTGGGCACAAAGACGGGACCAAGAACAAGTGACTCCATGCTTTATATGTCGGTCAGTTTAATGACCTGGAAGTTCATAACCCCAGAGCATATTTCCTGTTCTCCAGTAAATAAGCTGATTTAATGATGGCAAAGCTGCCTGGCATGGTACTGTCCTCAGGGGTCATTTCGTAGAAAAAGAGGTGCAGGAGCTCATTAGCATAACTTATTTGCATATGCCACACCCCCTGACATCACCGGAAGTGTGTCAGAAGGCAACACCCACACTGCAACTTACCTGGCTGCTTCTTGCTCCTCGTGGCCCAGGGCTACTGGGAGCAGGGGGCGGGGCTTGTTGCATGTGCCCGCCCCTGGGCTCTTTATTGCCGGAGCTCCGCTCCTGTGCGCTCCTGCAGGAAATGACCCCTGACTGTCCTCAAGACAAACTTCACTAGGCAAAGTGGAAGTGATCTGATAAGGATACCGCCTCAGATGTGATCGAGAGAATTAGAAGAAGGTATGTTTCCCTAATGAGCAAGTTCACTGTGGATTTCTCCAGATGGTTAATTGAAGCACATAAAGTGTTGTGAAAGGCATCTTTCGGTGAAAAGTCACATATATTGTAAGATTGTTCCAAAGAGCTCAGGATAATGCAGATGGTTCATTCATTTTACCGGAAGTTACCTGTGCGCTCCTGCAGGAAATGACCCCTGACTGTCCTCAAGACAAACTTCACTAGGCAAAGTGGAAGTGATCTGATAAGGATACCGCCTCAGATGTGATCGAGAGAATTAGAAGAAGGTATGTTTCCCTAATGAGCAAGTTCACTGTGGATTTCTCCAGATGGTTAATTGAAGCACATAAAGTGTTGTGAAAGGCATCTCTCGGTGAAAAGTCGCATATATTGTAAGATTGTTCCAAAGAGCTCAGGATAATGCAGATTGTGAGAAATGCATTGATATAAGGGGCTTCTGATCTTAAAAACCTTGCTTTAAAAATTGCTATAGAAATATTTTGTTTGAAATCAATATTCAAGGCTTAATAAAAAAAGCTGAGCTAAAGAGGAGGTAGAAATGGGGAAGTCAGACACTAGCAACAACCAGCTTGCACAAACATCTCCACTCAGTAGAAGCGGAAGAGCCTTGCAAAAGATTGCCTTCAGCAGAAAGGGGAAATGGCCGTGGGCAAAGAAATATTTCACAAACATTAAGGATTTTTACTTTAAAACTTATAGAAAAGTGCCTTCAGTTAGAGGGACGTTTTGCTGTGTATTGAAATTAAGAGTGTATTGCTTGAGAATAGATGCTGAAGCTGGCTTAATTAGAAAGCAGAAGTGTGGCCAAGACAACTGCCAACTGTTAAACAGGAACCTGGAAGAACCTGCAATTTGGGAGATGGGAAGAGAGGCAACTAAGGGGAGTGATTACCCATGGAAGAAGAAGATTAAACAAGCAGGGGCTATGCAGAGGAACCATTGTACTTAATTCTATGTATCTTTATATGCTTTTATTTTCTTGAATGCATGAAGGCCGACCAACCTAAAAAAATGAGGAACTTGACATTTGACTCTGATAACAAGTCTGTTGAAGAGATGATGGCCCAAGACAGGCCTGTTGAAATAGGACATGTTGCGGTCTAAAGGTCCATTCTTTACGAGAAGACCATCCCGATTTACGAGAAGATCTGTCTCAAGATACTTGTGGTGGGCCGTTGTGGGTTATGAAGAAAGGTTAGGAAAGAGTAGAGAAAGTTAATACCATGTTTGGCATAAAGGAATTATGCCCTTTTTGGGAAAGTAGTGGGCTTGTCTAACAAAAAGCAGAAGTGATTAGGCGGTCGGTGATTGGAAGTTGTAACTCCTGACTCTCAGTTCTGGGAGGCGGAGAGGGCGTTTCTTATTTTCCATACCACTCCAGGACAGGATAAATATCTGCCACAGAACCCAATTCAGTGTGTGTTCTCAATGCTCCCTGGGCAGCGAGACGCACCCTGCCTGCAGGCTGTATTCAAATAAAAAAACCTGCTTCGTTGAAGGAGACCTGTCTGTCTTGAGAAGTTATTATTGGTAAGCGCAAAGAGCGTTAACGACACAGATGGTTCATTCATTTTACCGAACAACAATCCTGGGAAGTAGGTTAGGCAGAGAGATAGGGGACTTGTATCCCTCTTACTGGCTGTGCCTTCATTCAGCACAGGGAACTTTCCCCCTGTCACACAAAACCTCTTCTGCTAGCAAGGAAGGTGCTGCTGCTAAGGAAACCGATTGGTGTGATCAAGCCCAGGGACCGGCCCGAAGCCTCCCAATAAGCTTCACAGCAGAGTGGGGATTTGAACCCAGGTCTCCCCAGACATAGTGCAGCACCCTGACCATTTAACGAACATGCCAGTACTGCCGGTGATAAAGCATACTAAACTTTATTAAACTCAGGTAACCTGAATCCTACTTGTGTGATAGTTCCTGATTTATAGCACTTATACAAACAGGCACTTCTGTAGTTTTATTATCAATTTTTTCCCAATTTTTTAAAAGGGGATCTGCTATTGCAAAAATCGTAGGCAAAAATGTCCAGAAATCCAACAGATTTGATCCAGTCGTAAAGATGTGGGTGTTTGAAGAGTTAATCAATGGGAGGAAACTCACAGAGATAATTAACCAAGATCATGAAAATGTGAAGTATCTTCCAGGTCATAAGCTACCTCCTAATGTGGTAAGTTGAATAAAAGCATTTTCTTTTCAATTTTGAAGTTTAAAGTTTGGGCTGGATTTCTTCCTCCAATGGAAGATTACACTCTTAGCCAAAGAGAAATGTTGCAACAAATTTATTGTCTTACAAGAAATTCAGAAAGCAGCAGGCTGTTTAGGCAAGTAACCCGCAGAAAGCAGAAGGAATTGTTTAAAATTAGACCCTGGGTACAAGAACAAATATGTGTGAACTGTACATTAATGGAACTAATCTAGTAATAAAAAGGAATCTTAGCCCCATTATAGGAGCAAAGGAAGATGTGGTTGCAGATCAGGGAGCGGATTTTTCCCCCTCAGTGATTTTTGTGGCTATCTTGCCATGACCTAGACAACCCAAGCTAGCCTGATCTCCTCAGATTTTGGAAGCTAAGCCAGGTCGACCCTAGTTAGTACTTGGATAGGAGATCACTAAGGAAGTCCAGGGTGGCTATGCAGAGGCAGGCAATGGCAAATAGGCTTGCCAAGTCCCCCCAGGGGGCGGGGAAAACCCCGCCCCAGAGGCCCATTCCCCGCCGCTGGCGGAGCGGGCCCCGGGGGAATCCCACCCCGATGTGCACGTCACCCGGAAGTGACGTGATGACGCCGGGCACGCTGGGGGCAGGGCCACGGTCATCCAAAGGAAAACTCTATAGTTTCCCCTCGGATGGTCGTGGCCTCGCCCCCAGCGTGCCCGGCGGCGTCATGTCACTTCCCTCGATGTGCACGTCACCCGGAAGTGACGTGATGACGCCGGGCACGCTGGGGGCAGGGCCACGGTCATCCAAAGGAAAACTCTATAGTTTCCCCTCGGATGGTCGTGGCCTC